AAGTTCAATACTTGAGAAGCATCCATTGCGTTTCTTTATACTGGTTTTATTTCATTTTTTCCATTTTCTGTATAGATAAAAAAATGGCCAGACAAGTGCTACAGACTTGTTGGAACAGATTTGTCAGTGTCTGTTACTGATTTTGTATTTTGCTGCTTCGGACAAGTGTTCTCCCCCAAGGTTTTTCATCCCCTCTAATATTAAAGGGGAAAACTCTCGTGACCGATGTTTAATCCCAGTAAGACAGGAAGCTTTAGGATTAAAATGTGTAATTCCAAGTTGTAGATGGCTAGCATACAAGAACACAAAGTTGAGTCTGTCTGTTTACTGGCTTACTCATCTTTTTGAATGATAATTTAGACTTCCAACTGTTTTGAGTTGAGATTCAGCCCTTTAATTACATATGTTTATGTATAGTAGCAAACTTGAAGACATTATGGTAGAGTGTTCTCTACTCTTGGTAATGACCCAACTATCACTCGAGCATTTGGAGCCAGCTCTCAGTAGCCGGTTTCACTCGTTCTTCTGTGCTTTTGTAGTTTCCAAACTATTCTGTCTAAAACTACTACGTTTTTTCCAGTAATTAGTAGAAAAATATTTTGGTAATTAGCAGTAACTGTGTATTAGAGTACTTACTCATTTTAATAGATTCCCCCCCCCCCCCAGCTGTAGGTGAAAGACATTCAGAAACAAGTTTTTTTTCACGTTGCAATCATGACAGGAATATTGTTTATCCCATACATTTGTATACAGCAGCACATGAGGTATGTGGGTGTACTAAATATCAGCAGACTTCAGTTACATTTATCTACTTGAGAAGAATGGGTATCACACCACTTTTAGAAATATATTGGTCTTACACCTTTTCTCTGAAATTCTTTTTGCTTCAGAAGGGAAGGATAAGAACGTACTAATTTTTAACCTTCCACAAGAAAATTAGCTACTTTTGACAGAATATTAAAAAAAAACTCATTAAATTTTGCTAGGTTTTATTTTTCAATAGCATCCTTCAGTGATAGTGAAATGGCATTTTTGATTTTTAATGTTTTCAGTGCCATTTTCAATCACTAAGGTATTTTTTATTACATTTAACTGATTTAGTTAATCATCTGTAATGAAAACTCTGAGAGTAAATACTCTTTGATAGTTACAGAGTTTACTATATGCATCCATATGTTTTGTTCTTGTTAACAATGCGCATCATCACTTTGAGGACTGTCTGAAAAAATTAATATAGATAGTACCAATGGTACATCTATGTATTAGAGACAGATTTACATAACGTACATACTAACATATATGATATATTTATTATACTATATATACGTAAAGACCACATTATCGATAGCATTTGGACATAGGCAGGCTTAATTCTGTTATTTCCAATTTTTGCGTGCTTGAGTTGGCAAACTTAAATTAATGCTGTTTTACTGTATGCATTTTTTGTATGTATTTGCAATCAGAAAATGAATGGTGAAATTCAAAACCTTCGGCTCCGTTACAGGCACCGGAGAGGATGTGCTTTTTAATTGGTACGGACTTTTCTGCAGGTTTGACTCTGTAGCATTTTGCCTTCAGATTGTCCTAACACAGTCGCCTCACTTGTCTGTCCCTGGCAGCTTCTTTGACCTAAACTAGCTGCTCTAGTTTAGTTATACTCTAGCTATCCCCCAAGTTTTTCTGTCTCACACAGGTTCCACTCTTTTTCCTGTCCCATTTCCACTCTTCTCCCTTTATTCCCTGGTCTTTTGTTCCTGACATCTCTTGTGTAAATAACTTGCTGTATGCCATCTTTCTGTGTTGGATTTTGCCTCAACGAGTAGTTTCTGTTTCATATTGTCTGAGGAATAGGATGAGGCATTGTGAATATGGGAGAAAGAGCTTTCCATTTAGCAGGTGTAGAGGCAGGAGATAGCTGTAGCCTCTGGATTGTACTCGATGCATAGATTTTCAATGATTTTATGCTTTAGTAATTGTTATTGTAATTTTTTACCCTCCTCCCACTGCACTCTTATCCCTCCCACATGTAGTGTGGCCAGATGCCTTACATTTTCACAGGAATACTAAAAGGATATCAAACGTCTTGGTTTGCCAAGTTCTAAGTCTCGTCTCCAAAAAGTAGTATTTTCCAGCAGCGTGCAGCTTTAGGCAGACACCCAGCAAAGAAAATTTCAGCCTACATGATTGAAGTGTGATAAGATTAAAGATGAGAGGATGGTTTCGTCAGGAGAAAGAAGAGATAATCTTAGAGCAGACAATGCTTCTAGTCTCTTCTGTTACGGAGGTAGCCTGACACATTCCTCAGAGCTACAGCTGAGGAAGTTAAGAAAACAAATAGCCTGTTAACCCTAGCCTCACCGTCATCATGAGGATAACTTGGGCTGAAACCATATTCCTGAAGGTGGGAGTTTCTTTGCTGTCATGAGTAATATTTGCACCCAGCTACAAGCCTGGTTAAGTATTCTAAGCAGCTCTACTCGTCATGCTCCCCAAGTTCCCGTCATCCGCTTCTGTCCTCCTTGTTTCTCTTGAGCTTTTGTGTTAAATTCCCTCTTCCTGTGTCCATCCTGCTGTGGATCGTTCCTCTAAATGTTGAGGATGGCTCTCATCCCATCCAAGGCCTAGCTGAGTTTATAAAAACAGTGAGGCTGGATTACTGTTTCTCTTTTGAGTCTCCACAGAGTATGCAGGTTTGTTAAATGTAATGTCATCTCCTCGACCAGTGAGCAGTCTGACTTACGTCGTAATTCATAGATGTAATGGTGAATATGTAGGTTTGTGCATCAATGAATATGCACCTGTGTAGCAATATTTACTTTATTCCTCTTTCATTTTTTATATATTTTTATATATATATGTCAAACTTCTGAGGTGTTCTGCTAAGCCGCAGAAGAAATATCCTATTGACAGACATATCCACTTCCACTCTTCTTGGCTTTTTCAAATAAAAAAATTGCAGTATGCAGGAAAGTTCTTAAATAAAGGCATCCTCACAGAGACCCCCCTTAATACCAGTTCTATCGTGCCAGTGTTAAGGATGGTCCAGTATAAGTAAGTCTGCTGATACTTGCTGTGGCTTTTTGTCACGGAGACAGAGGCTGTTTCTTAGATAATTGTGTCCCAAATTGTTTAGGTGTTCAGGCGTACAAATCAATCAAAAGCCTTGAACTAAAGCTTTAAGCTCATTGTGAGCTAGTAATATTAAAGAGAATTGCTTTAATGTATTTCCAGTATGCAGCTGCATTTCAAAAGGTCAGCTATGAGTATGCGTCTTGTACAATTAACACCAGCAACAAAGGCGTAAGAGAGAAGGGAAAAGCAGGGTAGAGGGTACTTATGTATGTTGGGTGTTTAGAAATTTGCTGGGTCTGATGCAGTTCCTTGGAGAATATTTAAAAAGCATTCCTGTAAAATTGTGGACGATAGTTGAGGTTTCAGGACCCTGAATTTGTGAAGAAAAAATATGTCAAACCAATATAATTTATTTCTGTGAAAGAATAGCATGCCTTGTGAAGTGGTACGTGTCACCTAACATGACTTTTGTAAAGTATTGACATTAACTGGAATAAATAAAGTATAATTCACCAAGAATAAGTGCAAGGTTTTATGCTAAAGAATAGTCAGCTACGTCAGTAAAAGGTGTGGGTCAACTGGTAAGTGGTAGCTCTACCAAAAGGAAGTTACGGCGGATCGTAAGTCAACAGGAATTCTTTTGCTATATTTTTTATTGATTGATTTGTGAACCCTAGAAATCATTTTAGATCACACATTTAGATCATACTGATCTGGGTCAGCTCTGAACAAGTGATAGCATTCCAAAACATGAGATGTGATGTTTGTGTCTGTTTTGTGGTGGCTGCAGGAAAGCAAATTACACTTTTGACAGAGTAACCTTAACTTCACAAAAATGTTTAAATATATTTGCATGACTAAGAATTTAGTACGTCAGTGTTTTGCAGATGTAACAGTGCAGTATATTGTATCGTAAAATCTAATACACAGTCTCATTGAACCATTGCCTGGATTACCAGTGTTGTGGTCTTGTGACAAAGGAGTAATAGGCAGTCTACTGTATGTCTAGAATTATGTGACAGGGAAGATCTTGGGTCTGAAAGCACAACCTGTGAGGACAGATTGGTTGAACTGATTTAGGCCAGAGAAGACTGAAGAGAGATAAAATAGTGTTCAAGTGTCTAAAAGGGATAGCTGCTGAAAAGATAAATTAGTCAATAGGACAAGAAGCAATATGCCTAAATTACAGGAACAATTGTATTAAATGTTAGCAAAAATCTTCCAACTATAAAAATAATTAATTTCCTTATACTTGGATGGAATAGTTTACTTACAGAGGTTTTGAAATTACTACTTTTCCAGGATCGTAGAAAGAGTTGAGAGAAATACTTCTGAGGAGTAGCATAGGTAGACCTGATTCTGCCCTTGGGCACAGAGAGAACTAGATGGTTTCCTGGGACAAGCCCCACTGGTGGGGTGTGTGTGGTTATTCTATGTTTAATCAGACTAGTTTCAACATCTGAATTTTCTCATCGATACGGTGTTTTACAATAAATCTAATCCTGAAGTGGCAATAGCGTGGGTAATTGTGGCATGGTTACCATTGAAGGGAAAATGTCATATTCCTCCTGCCAGGTACAGATGGAAGAATGTGCCTGTGGCTACTGCTGTTACCTTGGCATACTAGAGCAATCCGGGATCTAATACTCTTCTTACCCTCATAACACAGACCTAGTTTGCAAATGGAGATTGCTCTCTTTATGTGGGCAACAGTACAAGTTACATCAATTCCTCTGGCTGTTTTCTTCACGCTAGGATTATTACCTGCTACCTTTTGTTCAAGCCCATGGTTATATTGCTATTCTGTATTTCCTTACATGTGCTGGATACATATACATAAGCTATATGTATTTTATCAAAGTAATTTTATTTGTTCTTCACACATTAACTAGCAGTGTCTAAAACAGGCAATGTCATGTATTCTCTAGAATGTCAGCTAATGAAAACAGAGCGACCAAAGCCAAACACATTCATCATCAGATGTCTTCAGTGGACCACTGTCATAGAGAGGACGTTCCATGTAGACACTCCGGAGGAACGGTGAGGGCTTTATTTTTGTTTTGCTTTCCGTGTTCTTTACGCAGAAGCCTCGGCACAGTCTCTGCTGGGACTGCACAGTGATCAGCACTTGGAACTGTGATATTCTGAGCCCATCTGAACAGTTATTTGAAGAATGTACAGATCAGCTTCTGTAAAACATTATCTGAGCTCATAGCTAGCGTTAAGAGTTGCCTGCGAGTAGGCGAGATGAGTGTGTTCAAATAAGCTCAATCTATGTCATGATACGTCTCTGAAGTGTTATATTTTGAACAGTAGAAGTCTGCATTGAAGTATTTTCCAGCCTTGCTGTCTTAAATTTTCCTTTTACTCCTCCCAATATGCTCCTTTTTTTGGCACAGATAGTCTGTAATAATTTATTTTATGTTTGTTTGTTAGTTTTTCTTGTTTCAGTAAACATACACAAACTCTTAAGAATTAACTTTTTTAACGCACCAGAAGCACGTAGGAGGTATGGGGTGGTGTGCCTTGCTACAGTGTTCTATGCTGTGTCTCTGGTTAGATGCACTTAGTCTTCCCACTGTGGGCGTATGTCCTGTTGAGACTAATACTATGATTTGGCTTTATTCATATTGTTTGTATCAATAAATAACCAATGGCTGCTTTTTCTGTTGTTTCTCTTTCATTAGTATATTCACTTAGAATTTTTTTTACTCTACCTTGGTACTGTTTCTCCACTCTATCTTTCTTCTGTGTATGCAGCGTAGTACCTCCTGTTGCATTCAGTAATACCACCAGACTCCCCCCGTATCCCTTGCTGGCTGAGCAAAAAGCAGCAGGTCCTGCACTTGGTGTGGGGCTGTGGCGTGCTGATGGGCCGGCTGCTGTACCTGCGCTGGATAGCCAGCACGCAGAATAGCCATGGGCTCAGCTGCCCCTGCTTGTCCCTCCACAGAAACCCTCATCTGGGCCTGTCCCTCCATGCAGCCACTGGGTTTTATGATGCTTGTAAGAATTTAGTTATCTTTGAGGGCCTCTTTCTCAGGGGAGTTTGAAATTAGGCAACAAGTTGAGTTTTAAGAGGAGACAAAGAGTTGAACACATGGCATGGTTTTATAAATCTTATTTATTTTCTGTGAAAATGTCTCGCAGGGAGAGGGAATACCAAAAAGTCTCTTAAAATAGCAAGTTATTTCAGGCAGTGTCGATAGGAGATGACATTCTATGCTCTGAGCTGTAATATACCTGGAGCAAGTGTTTTCAAGTTTTCACTAATATCTTAAAAATCAGACACTGGTAATTCTTGAAATTAACTGTGTAGTGATCCTTTTTGATGCTGGTCAACTTCACTACCTTTACCATAATGCAGAATTTGGAAGGAAATTGAAGTGATTAATTTATATGAGTCTTCTGCTGTGTAACATGAGAATTGAACACTGAAGCAAGGTAGCATGTGAGAAGCATTATAAACCATTTATCTGAATGTATTTTATGAGTTTCTAACAGGGGTGTTGGCTTGTTCATGGCAGGGAAGAATGGACAGAAGCAATCCAGGCTGTAGCAGACAGACTTCAGAGGCAAGAAGAGGAGAGGATGAACTGTAGTCCAACTTCCCAGATAGACAATATAGGAGAAGAAGAGATGGATGCTTCAACAACCCATCATAAAAGAAAGGTAATGACATTAAAAAATAACTGACAAAACTAGTATGTAAATAACTTCTGTAGAATGGTCTAGTTGGGTAAAACAATATACAGGGAACAGTATTTCTATAAAAATTTCAGTGTATTGAAAGTGTAAAAGTACTTACTTGATGTATTTCAATAAAGTTGAACTGATCTACTTTTATTTATTTGTTATGCTATCTGATACAGCACTTCTGAAAAACAAAGTTCAACTATTCAGGCACATGTTAACATTCTGCTTATTGTTTGAATATTATTTTCATCTTTTCCTTTTTGTTTGTTTACTCTTTTAGAAGTATGGTAATAAAATACTTTCTTTAGACAAGTAGATTTGCCCCCTTTCTCATGCAAATAATACCCAGTACAAATTAGATAATTTGCATAAGAAAGGCTAGCAGGATTTGGCTTTTAATGACCTTGTTTTTTGCTATCTGGGAAAATAACTGTGCTTTAGTTTTCAATGAAGTAAGAGAAAACAATGTTTTATTTTTTTGCAGTCCTTCACAGCTTTTGATATAAGTAGGAATATGTACATTGTTGGTTATAACATGTAGCTGTATCTCCAGAGTCAACAGGCTAAACACACAACTAAGAACATGTTTTAAAGACTCAGTGCCACACAGAAACTTGATTATGATTTTGTGCTTCTGTTTTGTCCTGTGTTTCTGTAAGTATGAACTACTCTTGAAGAATGGGTCATTCAAATAGATATGTCTCATTTGCTATACAAGATTGACATGACTCAAGGAATGCATTGGAATTGCATGAGGAATAATAACGTGTTTCTGTAGGACTGGCTTCATTCTTTCTAGTTAAAAGTTAAACCTGTAGAAAACTAAGTGGAAGTCTGCTGACAGAAAAATAGTCTTATACTAATGTAACTGAGTGCCTTTGAATGATGAACACTGAAAAGAAATAGTGAACCCGTGCCTTTACTCATAGAGCATGTTTTGTTTGTTGTACTATATGAAGGAAGAATCATAGAAAAATCAGTGCCTGAAAACTATACCCTGATGAATATAACAAAAGTGTCATATTAAATCTTAGTTGTATCCTGTCCTAACTTTTGAGAACTTGAGTTTGCAGTGCAAACATAATTATTTCATGTTTTTTCATTGCATGCAATTTTCTAACCTTTTTCTGCTATAGAAAAAGGTAAAAGCTAATTATATACAGCTGTAACAATACTTTCATCGTACATTGTCAGGTTGACATTGAACTTTCAGCCTTGTGGCATAGATGTTTAATGATTGTGCTCCGGGGTAAAATATGATAAGTGACAGCAAGAGAGAGGCAGCGTTCGAGGTGTGTCAGTCTTTCTGAGAGGCAGTGCGATTATGTGGAAGGGATTTGGGTTTGCTCTATTAAAGATCTGAGCACTGTTCCAAGCCGGTGTATCCTCTTAGTGGAGTACAAAACCACTGCATAACAACAAGCATTTTCAAGGTGTCAAAATCAATGCTGTGTAATATAAGTAGTTTATCTGGAATGTATGCTTTCCTTGCTCACGGTGCAGTGCATTTTCCCATACAACAAAAGGGGCTGTGGGAACAGGAGGAGGAAGATCAGTTTTGTGTCTGTCTTGCCGCTTACGCTTTAAGAAATGCTGAAGTAAGATGCTGGGACAGTGCATGTGCAGTGCTGCAGAATATTTAACGGCTGTGGCAACAAGCCCAAAGCAAACTTTACAAAACAAAGGTGAAATGAAAAATGGCGATATTCAGCACCTAGTAATAGAGCAGAATAGAGCCTTTGTAGCCAGTGAAGAGCATACCGATGACCACAATGATTATTTTTTTGTTGTTGTTGCCAAAACTCAAAATCCGGCTGCAGATTTCTGACTGTTGGAAGACTTTAGCGAAAGATTCTCAGAAGTTTCTGAATAAAAAATATTAAGTGACTGTAATGACAGGGAGTTGTCACTCTCTCTGTGTTAACTGAAATTGGGAAAAATATGTATTTTTAGAACTGTTTCTGTTTTGTAGAAATGTTTCTGAAAAGCTTCTGTTTAAGCTTTTGTAGTTGTTAATATAATCAGGACCATTTCGGTTATAATGACATAATGCATTTTTATTGCTTTTTTTTTTTTGGTATTGGTTTTCTTTTCATTTCAGGGATTTTTTGCACAGTGTGTCCTACGAGCTTATTTTGTCACCTGATTTTACATCTAAGCCCAGTGAATTTTGCTTGTGCATGCACCAGATGGTATACATATGAGTAGAAGAGCATAATCAGATTAAGAAACAAGACGGAGAGGAGCGGGCCTGTTTGGGTAGCAAAAGGTTTATGAAGAAAACAGTCTTTAGGACGTGGAAGTTGATTTGAACAGACATGACAGCAGCGTCCCTGGACAGATTAGCTGGAAGAGCCAAAAGCACTTTTTTCTCAGTTTTTTACAATGGTGTCAATGTGCCACTTAAGTTTTACAGTAATAGCATCACTAAAACTAAGAGCACTAGAAATTCTTAGCAAACTGCTTTTATTTCTTGCTGTACTGTTCCTTTTAAGTAGAATTTCTTCTTGATGAAGTCAGATGAAAACTTCAAGTGGTACAATCTTTGCGCAAATCAGGAATATTAAAAATTAGTTCCTTGGTAAGAATTTTCAACACCTGTAGTAGGGTGTATTCTTTTGAACAGATTGTCCATAGATAAGTAAATTGGCTTTACAGAAGGCTGAACATCATATGGTTCTTTGGTTAGTGCAGTTTCCTGTAGCTTCATTGCTTTTCCTTTGTTTACAAATTTGTTTTGCAGGGTGCAGGATGAGTAAAGGATAGATTTTTCAGTGGAAACTAAAAAGTAATGTAATGAGGAAAAAGATTCAATCCTCAGAGTTCAGTAGGAATGAAGAAGGTGGGAAAATCATCAAGGAGAAAGAATCCAGTCTTATGGGAGCCTCCAAACTTGCTTACCAACGTCCCTTAGGTTTAGGAAGTATTCCCATTTTTCCACCAGTTTTTAGTACACCCTTAGCTATGGCATCTGTGTTTTTATCTCCCGAGGTCTTGTGTTCTTTGACAGATTTTTTTGAGTTACCCTGCACTGCATATCATCTCTAAGCCTTCTGCTGAGCTTGTGAAGAATGAGAGCATCAGGAGACTTTATTCTTAGAACTAGCACTACCGCCATAATCTGCTGTTAAGCCACGGCTCAAAGTCTTGCAAACCTATTACCTTCCTTTTATAAATATACTTTTTTTTTTAAAACTTGTTTTCGCTGAGCTTGCAGCTAGATTCATGACTGCTTTGATGAACATTATGTAAGCAAATTTTGGGTGAACGACTCTTTCCATTTGACTGTCTTGCTGCCCCATCAAACCCATGTCTCTGATCAGTTCAGCCAAGATCCTCTTCTGGTGTGTGGGCAAAGGGCTGCTTTTCTCAGCTGGTTTTATTCAGGCTCTGATAGCTTCGTTCTAAGTCTAGCCTCTCAAGGAATACCCATCACAGGTATGGGAAAAAGTTACCCCTTTGAGGCTGCTTATGATCCTATAAATTTTTGACTGTTAGAAGTGTTAAATTGTTATGGTCACTAACTCAGTATTCTTTATCAATAAAGCTGTTGGCCATTCTTTGTCAGGGGACGTGACGGCTGAAGATATGGTGGATTCTGCTGTGAATGACTCATCTTCTGCCTGAGTTGTGTTTGAATGCATTTTGGATTTTTCATATGTTTTTGTCAATTTTCACTACTTTAGCACAAAGGGAGTTGGTTTTGCTTGATGGTTATCATAGAACTATTGAAGCAGATAACCTGACTTTCCAAAGTACTGACTGTGACATTTGAGAAGTCCTACCTTTAGTTGATTAAGTACTAGTAGCCACATAGTGTTTGGATCGCAACTTTACATACTACATCATGCATCAGTAGTTGTGACACGTTATAGTAGTTTTTGGAAAAGCTGACCATTTAAGGTTTTGTCTGTGGTCATAAACTTTAACTTTACACTCACTTGTGTGGATTTGCTTTAGGTAAAAAGTATGTTGAGCCTTTCCAATCTCTGTTACTGGTATTTCTTACTGGGATAAATGCAGTTTTGTTCTTGCTGATGTAAGGTGGTTTTGGCAGCAAAACAAGTCAGTGCAAAATGTTTAAGTATGTTTATGTGTGAGGAAAGAATGGAATTCACCAAGGTTAGCTTGCTTAGAAGCTACCAATCGATTTGCTTTAGGTAAAAAGTATGTTGAGCCTTTCCAATCTCTGTTACTGGTATTTCTTACTGGGATAAATGCAGTTTTGTTCTTGCTGATGTAAGGTGGTTTTGGCAGCAAAACAAGTCAGTGCAAAATGTTTAAGTATGTTTATGTGTGAGGAAAGAATGGAATTCACCAAGGTTAGCTTGCTTAGAAGCTACCAATCAACCATTACGTGGGAAAAAGATCAAATTCCTGCTTATAGCTAGAAGATTGATATATTGAAAGCATTTTCTCTTTATTAAAGCTTTGAAATATCTAGCTATTCAGATGTTAGCCTAAGCAGTCTGTCGGAGACCTTTTGCAGCTTTTAAGTTGCAGGTTGAACACTTAAAAGCTAAGGAATTACAGCATTAAAGTGGTTGATGGAACTTCAGTTCTACCCCTTATGTGAGCAGATTTCAAACTGACTCTGAGTAAGCGATTGCATAAATTATTTTCACAGTTTGTGCACAGCAACTTCAGACACACAGTAATTGTATCATGCACTTGAGCTTAAAGGAATGAATAATTTCAGAAGGAAATTTTGCCCTTTATTCTTTCTCACAAGAGAGAATATGTTTTGCCCAATATTTGTGATTGCACACTGGGGATATGCGCAATAGCTCTACACTTGGAATGTGTGTGAGGTACCTAGGCAGTGTTAGAGGTGTTTCTGGTAGGGATAACGAAAGTACTAAGGAAGGCACAAGTAGAAGTTTATCTGGAATGCCAGTATTCAAGAAGACTGCCTGAGGCTGCAACTGGTGCTAAGAAGAGACACCGGGAAGATGAAGGATAAGGCACGATCTTTTCTTTTCCTCACACCTAACAGGATTAAATATATTGAATAAATTACTCTTTTTTTAAGTGTTTTGAGGTGTTTTATTCACAAAGGAAGGAAGGTTATTGATACTGCAGGACAGTACTATAACAAGAGTAGGTGAGTGTGTTGGCTTTCAGAGCTTTTAATGGCTTTCCTGAAGGTTGCTGGGGTGCCTTAATGGCCTGAGTGCAGTTGTGTGGTGCTGCAACCAAGCCAGTAACACAGCGTGCTGAAAGATGTGCTGTGGAAACACACAGTGGAAGCCAATAATTGGCCCTGAGTTGGCCAAAGAAACACTGCTGTCAGTCCAAGGTGACCCTGTACAGTCACTACATTCTCAGTATTGTGCTGTTTTTTCTACATCCTCATCTTTGCGTCTAATGCAAAGACCATAGGGTTGGTGCTTCTGAGGTGTCTGTGAAATGAACTTGCAGAACTAACATGATTATTGACTCAAGCTTCGTGCTCATGAAAGTGGCTAAACTGCTTTGGGATCTGAGATTGTCAGGTTATATTCGTGCAGTGTGTGACACTCCAGTTGAGCTGATAAACCTACTAGACTCAGATTGTGTGTTGGTGGAACCAGCTCTTGGATGTACTACATTTAACCTGCAAAACTAGGGTGCTACTAGATGCTTGAATGGTCACTATAATGGAGTTGCATGAAAGAGGAAAACATGCCACCTTTTCGTTTTCAGAGCCCGATTGATCTATGTAAAAAACAATTGTAATCTGTATGCAAATTTTTAGAAGTCTACCTCTAATGCAAAGACTGTTGTAAAGTCTTACTGGTATAATATTGCAGTGAGGATCATGTACATTTCAAAAAAGTCATTAGTGCGGTGGTTGATGTTACGCAAAACCTGCTGATATGCCACGTTCTTGTGTCCCTGGTAATACCAGAGTTGATGAGCTTTCTTAGATGTGAAGCATTCATGAAGTGCTGGTATGGGATAAAACTTTGTTCTGTGTGTGCTTTGTAAAAATAAGTGTGTGTGTAGTATGCTGTGCAGTACTTGACTTTAGAGCATTATAATAATAGTATCGAACAATATATCCTAGTGGTTAAAGGATACAGTTAACTATTATGAACTTAATCGTAGAAGTGTACCTATCTTTGTAAACTTTTAATTAAACTGGTAACAGGATTTGGTTATATGTGGACACACTTGTATGCACATTGGAACTGGATAGCATAAGTCTTGCTAATCCTTGTCCTTTGCTCCTTATAGACAATGAATGATTTTGACTATTTAAAACTACTGGGCAAAGGCACGTTTGGCAAAGTTATCCTTGTCCGAGAGAAAGCTAGTGGGAAATACTATGCTATGAAGATTTTGAAAAAAGAAGTAATTATTGCAAAGGTAAGGAAGGTTATAGTTTTAATATTGTGTCTTTTTTTTTAATGGAATAATCAATATCTAATACATAAGATGTATTTAATTTTTGATTGTAACTGAGTTTGATAGAAACATGCGTGTATCTTCAGAAAGCAACAATACCAAAAAAAGTATGTGTACCCATTTTGCATGCCTTTTTCCAGTGTCTTATAATCTAGAGTGTGCTAAAGCATTGAAAGAGTTCACTTGGCATGAAGATAGTGCAGTCCAAGTTTAAAACAAGAAAAAGTACATTGTAGGGTATATTACATACTTCAAAAATTTCTCAAAGTCAACTGCAGGTTTATTCAGATAAATGCAATTACTTTAATGGGCCTGTGCTCTGTTTCAGCTGTTAGATAAGATGGCTGTGCATGGGACTAACAATTTCATTTTCTCAGTGTTTGAGGAACAAGAAAAGTCTGAAGCTGGTGTCTGAACAAGTGGTTTAGTCACTTAAACTTGTTTAGGTTTAGTGTTACTAGCTCTTGTGCTTGGTCATAATTTTACAAAGTTTAAGCTTGAAGATCATCTGCTCTGAGCTTTGTTTCTAGCAATTCTAAAGTTTTGAATCCCACTTGCACAGAACAAGTTGAGAGCAAGAAACTTACATGCTCTTATCACCATGAGATGCAATTAAAAATAATCCTAATTATTAAGTAAGGAGGTTTTTGAGGGATGTGGATCTAACTGAGAATTTTGAATGCTTGAGGCTAGCAATACCAGTATTTGTAAAAACTGAATGGGAATGGGAACTACTGTGGTTTACACATATTTTATTTTAAAAAGTCCTTCAGATTTTTCCGATTTTCCTATTGGCCTATGAAAACAGGGCTTACAGAGTTTTGCAGTCTATCTCTGTCAGTCACTTTCTAATAACTTTTGAATGTGTTGATCCGTTTCGCTTAAATTTGAGAGAGGAGTAGAAACCTCAAAACCATTTGTATTTCCTTGAGTGTCATTAAAACCAGCCCTGGTGCAGGAGGAGAGACTTAAATTTATGTCTTCAGCAGAGAAGAGACTGACCTGTGAGTTCTGCGTGCCCTTAGCAGCTGTCTCGTGTACAGTGGCAGGCTGGTCGGAATGTGTATGATTTGGACTAACATCAACAGAGGGCCCTTTTCTTCTTCACAATCAGGAGGTGCAGAAAGAAAAGAGGGTATCGCTGCTGCGTTCTCCTGATTCTGCATGGGAAGGAGCATCTCAGTGGCCCTCCTTGTAAGAGTTTATAAATGGCAGCAATCTCTGTGGGTTGCCCTGTGGGTCTCAGAGCCTATCTGTCTGCGGCATGCTGTGACCAAGTCTCCAGCCTGACATCCTTCCCCAGTGCTTTTTTGCTCACCCGTGGCACCCAGGGGGTCCTCAGGGGAGTCTCATGTCTGACTGCCATGAGCTCCTGTTCTGCTGCTCCTCGGTTATACCCTTCCAGCCTTCAGAGCATTTCAGCTTGTTTTGTTATGTCAATAAAATAAACCCCACATTTTTGAATTTTAGAGTTTTTCAGTTTGCTTTGCTGGCTGCTACAATATTGCTGAATTTTTAGAAGGGTTAACACTGATTGTTGGATAACTTTGTCTCTCTCTGTTGAGTGAAGATTCTTGTTCATAGAAGTATATATAAAGCCAGAAAAATTTTGAAGAGATCAGGGATGCAACTGTTCATTGATCTATTTACCTGAAAACAGAAAAGTAGCTCAGTGACAGATTGGGCAGAACCTGGCACTCCCTGAAGCAGACCAGGATCTGGTTGTCTGCCTATTTGTAGACTAACAAGAAGGTTAAGGGTGTGCGGAAACATGCCTTTCATCCTGTGATGAAAATGAGAGCACCTCAGTCTTTTAAATTTTACTTCCTCAGAACTGGAATTCTGTTTTGAAAGGAGTCCTTCTATGTTTTCCATAGTATGGCTGTATATTGATAAGAAACTGATAAAAGAGTAAAAAATAGACTATGCTTAGATCTTCACAAGTGAAGTGATCATGCTTTTTTCCCTATAGTCACCAAATACCATTTTTTTCCACTCCACCCCAAACTAAAAACAAAAGCAGCCTGGAGTCTGAACTTAGCTGTCTAGCCCAGTCAGGCTGTAAGTATGCCATGGGAGTTTATCAATAACATTAACCTGTGAAGATCAGCGCTAAGGGTACAGTCACCAGCTAGAATAGATCTGCAGTCGCAACTGCCTATAACGTGATATAATACACAGTATAGAATGTCATCCTGTAACAGTTAGCATAATATGAAGCCGAAAAGTGGTACATTGACAGCTGTATCTAGAAGCATCTGCCCAGTTCAGACTACATCTGTTGATCCAAAATTTTCATGACAGATTAATATTACACTTACCAGGGAATTGCTACCAGTATTACAAACTTCTGAGGCGATGCCAGAAAAACTAGCCATTGCCAGCTTTTTATGCCCCATATGTGGTGAAACACCGAGGTTTAAAAATAAGTAAATAAAACTTTAGGCTTGCTTTTCTCCTTGAAGTGTTTTTTGTTTTTCCCCCAGTATGTGGTTGTGGTGTATACACAGTGTCGCACTGCTATTCAGATAAATGGCACCATAATTTAGTGCCACTAACTCTGTTGTGGTTGAGGTTTAACTTCCTATTTTGACAATTTTTAGTGTCTAACTTAAAACTCCTGACATCTGTGTTTACTTTCTAGCTTAATAATACCTTATCTTCAGAGCATAGTCTGATAAGCATGTGCAGTACAATAATGTTATATCGGTATTATTTGTAGCAATAATAAAGTATACTCTGACTAAATATATTTACTTCTGCAGGATTATGGTTGAAGTTTGAGTTGCATTTAGTCTTCAACTCTGCATAATACTCAGCAGCAGCCTAGTGCTCCAGGAAATGGCTAACCCAGCCCAGTGGCTCTCAGGCTTTTTAGGTCCAGCCCCTGGCAGCCTGAGGAGGGGGCATTCCCGGCATGTACTGCTGGTAGAATTGCATAAAATGGTCGTGTACACCTAATATGAACCTCCTAAATGCCCCGCTTTTCTCCCTAGTCCTTGGGAGCTGCTCGCCATCGCAGTGCAGGGCAAGCCCTCTTCCCGCCATCTTCTCCCCTCGTCCCCGCCTGGCCCCGGCTCTCCGCAAGCCTGGTGCCCCTGCCCTCGGGGCCGTGCCCCTGCC